AACATGTGAAGGACAAGTGAACATCCCCAGTTGTACTCAGTATACTACTCTACTGTTTAAAAAAAGTATCAAATATGTTTTAATTATGAGTAAGAGTTTATCCGACTACATGAAATTTCATGTAGTTGTGAAAGTTAAGTAAATAATAATATAAGAACTGATGTATCTGCTGTGGTGATACTTTGTGTTCTGACAAATAAAGCTTGCCTGAAGATCAGAAGTTGGAGCTAGCCACTAGTCAACCATAAAGGTCTGGAGGTCTGTAGAGACAGGAGACAGGAAGTGATATGGCTGGGCAGAGAGAGGAAGTGATAAGGCGGGGCAGAGACAGGAGTTCTGCCCTTTTCAGTCTGAGGAGTTGGAGAGGTAAGAGGTAACTGTGGCTGCTCCTTTGGTTCCCTGATCTTTCAGCTTTTACACTGATACCTGACTCTAGGTTTTTATTATTAAGACTAATTAGGATCATGCTTCTATCGGCTTTAAATCTCTTTTATGTATAAAAACACAGATCCCCTATAAGTTAACAGTGGATTATTAAAATACCAATTTCTTTTCAATTAGTATTAGACTTAGCTCACCAAAGGTGAAGGAACAATCTATTTTGAATTTCTTCCCTTTGTGTGTAGTTTTCTATTAAGCAAAGTCAGAGCTCACAGCTTCTAACTTGAAGGGCTCCCATTTGTATGCTGAGACTTAACATGTTAAAAGTGTACTTTTGTCCAACCTGCCCTGCCATCCTGCCCCTTCTATGGAAACTTACAAGGCATTTTTAGACGTGCTCTGTTTCGCTATGCTGATATAATGAGTGTATTGATAGAACCTGAAACAGAAGGAGATTGGATGGGGGATTGAAACAAAAATTGGGAGGGCTGAAAAATTTAATAAAGGAATAGAAAAAGGCAATATTGGTAAAAATCTTGAGATGAGAGTTTAACTGATTTTCTCCCAGAGCATAAATTTAATAGAGAAAGGTATCAAAGCAGATGTTTAGAACACAGGTTGGATGGTATGCAATTTCCTCTTCACTATCACTGCCATAGAGAGCTTTATAAAAACTTTACTTTTCACAGATTAAATTTCACTTTTTTCTATTATGGGCTATGTGAGGCTTTAGAGTTATGATTAGAAGGCTGCCTTATTCAGTTTGTAGCTGGGTAGATTTTAAGAAGTGATACACAGTGTAATAAATATGTGATTATAGCATGCACAACACATTTATCAGCAGTTACAGAGAAACTTTGCAAATTTTCTGTAATTCTTCCTTCCTGTTACACTGTCATCATTTCAGATATTTTTTAACTGAATGTTTTAAATACACCGTCTTCATTCTTCATTGTACATTTTTTTTGGCTATAGACCAGAAGCTGACTTTGAGAAAATAAATATTTACATGGTCTGATTTTCAAAATTCTAAGAACTCACTCATTAGAATTGATTAAGATTTTTAAAAGCAAGTACATAATGTATATGCATATTCTAAATATAAGGAGTTATTTCTAACTGTAATTATGAAAGTCATTAGCTTATTTTTTCTTATACTTGTATGTATTAAATAAATTTAGTTATTGAACATAGGCACCAAATAAATCTCAGATTGTTTCGTGTTATATTGCCAACTGCATTTGGTGTTTTAACCTTAATATCCCCAGATCTTAATTCCTCTTGAATCATAGGGTGCATGACCAAATAGGCAGCAAAGAAATAGATATCCTTATAATTTAATATTTCTGTTTAATTTTGCACATACTTCTGCCTTGTTCTGTTTATAATGAAGTTCACAATTACACTTAATATTATTATGCTCATAGCTTGGTAAATTATAAATGTAATTTTATAAAGCTTGGAAGAGGATATGGAGATAGAGAGTAGAAAGAGAATTTTGTAATAAATTAGGAAAGACATATGATAGAAATGCAAATTAAATAGAAATAGAATTGCATCATCAGACTTTTAAAAGAAGAAAGTTAACAGATTTTTAATCTTGCCATCACTGAATGTAAATTCCACAGAATTTTAAATACTATTATAGAATTTATTATATCAAGGCATACAGATGCTGCAGACAGAGTCCTATGATGGACCATATTATTCTATTTCTTATTTTTCTAAATACCTTTTGTTGTATTATAAAAATAAATATATATGATTAATAAATTTAATCATCTGTTTACATCTGTTATCATTTAATAGATATTTAAAGACAGATAAATATGGAAATTTTGTATTTCCCCTAAATGTATCCAGATTTGTGTAAATGTATCAAGCAAACTGCAGAGAGTCTATGAGTGATGCATGGCCATGCATGTAGGTGGCTAGAAAATATTAGTAGCTATTTCTGACACACTTAAAAAGGGATGGAATTCCATTCTTTCCTTTTACTGTGTAGTTAAGGATGCTCTAAAGACATCCTTTTATCTCTCTATACATGCTTTTTTGAAATGAGAAAAATTAAGCTGCAATAGGAGAGAAAAAACCCAAGAATGATGAGTCAGGTAAAGAAATTGTATAAAAGGATCTCATATGAAAAGAAAAAAATCTTACAAACAAGAATAAAAGGAAAAGTGAGGATCCTTAAATAGAAATAACTTTATCTTTTCTTAGGAAAGTTTAGGTAGGGATTTGTGTATGTGAAGAGGATACCTTTGTCTCTGACATCAAATAAAAATTGGTTCACTAAATCCACATCCTTAGACAATCTGATCTGCATTTTTCTTCCAGCTTATTCTTCACTCATCACAGTGGAAATTTTTGTAGTTTCATAGGGAGCAGATGATTTTATGGTTGAGTTTATTTTAAAAGGAGCACTATTTTCATAAGCTGACAAATTCATTGGAAAAGTATATTTGATTTTTTTTGCTGCAAGCCTCAGAGAAGATTATGACAACACATCTCAAATGTGTTCTTATTTTTATATATTATGATGGGCCAAGGTTTACACATTATATATATGTATATATGCATATATATATGCTTAATGTGATATACATTTAGATCATGTTTATGGTATCCATACTAATTTCTTAGAAGATTTGGAAAACCATTCAGAGTGTTCATGTAACTTATTTTTGTGAACAAAAATACTGGAATTGTTAATGTTGGAAAATACAGCGGTTATCAATCAACTCCATGTGTTTATTACCTTGGGCCACTGCAAGCTATCTTAAATTGAATAATAATTTCCCATTTAAGCTATGGCTACCATTTTAGACCTTTTATTTTTAAAATTTCTCATTGTGAACAATTAACTTTCTCAATGTTTGATAATTGTTTTTCAAACTTGTGAAGATGAATCCAAGGGAACAGCCATAGATTTACTCCATGCATCTGTCTATGAAAACTATCAGAGTAATGGGCTCACTCTCGGCCTTTCCAAGGGTGATTCTTGTAACATACTAGAGAAATACAGTATAGTTAGTAAAAAATTAGAGGGGGGAAAAGCCTCTAAACAACCACCTACTATGAAATATGTAGAACCCTATAAAGTCAATTTAAAAATATAGACAAACCCAGCCTTAGAATATTTAAAAGCACAGTATTTTTGTCCATCTCCCTCCCCAACAATGCCCTTCATACAGTAGTCACACCTGACACAAATGCACTATATGGAATCATTGATCGTTTCTGCAAATCATTGTAACAACATCAGGCACCAACAGTTAAGTTATTAAAAATAACACAACAGTACAACCCGTAGAGTTGAGAAAAACTATTGAAAAAGAAGCATGTCAAGTTGGAAGCTACTCAATCACAAAACATGGAAGAATGATCAACTATTTCTTTCTTATCTACCATCAAACTCTACATACATCTTGAAGATGCCACACCTGGACAAATTCCTTTAGATTAAGTCCATGAACACTTCCCAAACATTTCTATACAAAGTTATACATTCATGCTGAGTTATTTATCATTATGTAGTAGTGATAATCTGCAGTGGGCCAGAGTTTTATTTGCAGGCTATTCGGAGAGGACCTGTTGTAGCGTGATACTTAAATCCAGGGTGGAAGCATAAACCTAAGGTGTGCGGCCATAGTCTGAACAGGAGACTGTGGGTTGTGATGAAGGGATGTCTGGAGAATCAGAAGAATGAGTCGTAGAGGGTATATCTTTCTTTGTAGAAATGCTGAGGCACAAAATACAGGTGTTCATTGTACTTTCATACATGAAATCCCTTCTCCTGTATGTGCATCATATGTAAACGTAAAGTCTGTATGCTGCTGACTATTCGTCTCTGATGTCCAATGAGTATGACTCCAATTCGTCTAATATCACTGAGAGAGTATGAGGAGGGAGAGAAGGGAGAAGAGACAGAGAGGAAGGGATTGGGAGAGAGAGAGAGATTTTAAGTATATATATTTAATAAATACAAGCCAGAGAAAATGAATACTTAGCTATGTTAAATATATGCCATGTTACATTTGACAAAGAAAGTGTTGGTTAATTGTTAAGTAGTCATATAAATGGATAGCAAAAATTTTGTATTTTATTCTCCCTTGTTCCATAAAATATTCTAAAATTCATGTAATCCCAAATTTAATGATATAAAGGAAAATTCCATATCCAGATAGAGTGTTTACATTTCTATTGGCATAAGACTATTTAGAAATCAATTTGTTATATAGGTTTGCAACAGTCATAGAAAATTCAGAGAATGTAGGGTAGGGTATAATATGGGTATGAAAATGACATTAAGCAAAATTAGTAATTTTGTGGAAATGTACATATTCTACAACCCTAGAGCAACTGCACTGCTGTGCTTAAGAGATACACACAAACAATGGATACAAAAATTGTACAATTCAAAAGTACTTGCACTAATACAGATTTTAAAAACAGTGGAGTCCCATACAGTAGCCCAAACTGATGAACTGGATTTATAGGCATGAATGCAAATGAATCTCAAATGTTGGGGGAGAAAAGCAAGAACAAAACATAACCTCTGAGATGAATTTTAAATTTATATAAAATATATAAATTAGATATACACAGTCTAATAAACATTAAATATAGAACAGGGATGACCTTGGGATGGGGTGGGAGCTGTGGTGGAAGTGGGGTACACACAGAGCTTCAACTGTCTTATGAATGGATTATCTCATAAACTTGGTGGTGGGTACCCTGGAATTTGTTATATTACTCTCTGTACTTGTTTGTGCATATATGAGAAATGATTCATAAGAATCAATAAAAGCCAGTATTTGACTTAAAAAACTGTCATTATTTTGAACCATATAAAATTGCATTCCTATCCTAAAACAATGGCAATTTCACATGGCTCCATTGTTATAATATCTTTAATCCACATTTTGAACATTTCTATTGGATGTAGGCGAAGAATGATCTTTGAGACAATGGAAGATGTCTGAACATGATAATACACCGAAGGATCTCTAAAATGACAAAGTAACACTTTAAGTAGATTGCTTTAATGAAGGTAGTAGGAACTAATTATGCTTTATTAGTATATATGAATAACAATTTACCAAGGCAACAAACACTATGTTGATGTAATGTCTATGATGTGAATAAGATCAATATGTATTTTGGAAGCATTTACAACCATGTCACACATCCATTTGAATTAAATATATTCTTTAAAAGAATAATAGTTGAAAGTGTAACTTCCATCTTCCACTGAAATGATAATGAGAGAAATCACATACTAGCCTTAGGAAAGGTATTCTTGATTGGACATGTGAATTTGAAATTCCATGAGCAGAATATCTAATTACAGCAATAAGGCTAGAACTACTTACTCAATGCTCATTCTTGAAATCAGATCAAACGTTGTAAAGCCTGCTGCCATGAAGTTACTCTTGTATTGACCCATCTTTATAGAATCCAACCAGTCACCAACTGTGACGAACAATGGATATTCAGGAACATCACCAGGGGATTCTGGCATTCTACAGGGAAATGAAACATAGCATTCAAAAGCCAGATAAGCCAGACTTAGTCATTCTTAGTTTTTTCTTTTGCAATATTCTTGTATCTAATATTTTTTATCCTCTATTTGAGTGAACTCTAATTTTCTGTCTTATTCAGCAAGTAATTAGAAAAAACTTTTTAAAAATCAAATCAGTCATTTCTTTTGTCATTTTCTGCTTTTATTTTTTTAGCCACTATGGGTATTATTACATTTGATAGATCTTTAGAAGATCCATTTTTTTTCTATATTCCTTTGTATGTTTTCTCTAATGAAATTGGTTTGAAACTTGAAGCCTAGTCTGCCTACTCTCTCTGCATGGAGAGTAACAGTTGTTCATGATTACCATTTTCTTAGGAATCCATGCCCTTCACCACATGAAAACCCAGAGAATCAACTAACCTGGGCTTACAGGAGCTCACAGAGACTGAACCGACAACAGAGAGCCTGCATGGGACTGACCTAGGCACTCTGCTATGTGCTACGGTTGTGTTCCTCTCATGGGACTCCTAACAGTGGGAACAGGGGCTGTTGCCGACTCTTTTCCTGGCTTTTGGGACCCTCCTCCTCATACTGGGTCACCTTACCCAGCCTTAATACATGGGGAGGTGCTTAGTCTTACTGCAACTTAATATGCCATGTTTTGTTGATACTCATGGGAGACCTGCCCTTTTCTAAACAGAAACAGAGGAGGAGTGGATTGAGGTGTGGGGGCAGAGGGAGGTTGGGGGGAGGGACTGAAAGGAAAAAACTAAAGCCCCGTGTAAAATAAATAATTTTAAAAAAGGAATCCATGTCCTTTTACCAGCCCCACACTTACTGTGATGGTTCTCCTTTTAATGATGAATTCATTGATCAAACTTCAAATTATGTTTTTAAACATTCAACAATAATAGTCTTATTTAAAAACAATTTCTTATATCATAAAACTTAGTTGCACAAGTAGGATTTACATATAACCAAGTATAGTGTATGAGTATTGTAGCTCAAAACATAGATATAAAGGCATAAAATAAGGCAAACGTCAATGAAATTTGGGCTACCAAGTCAAGGAGTATAGTATTGATAGATATTAAAACTGTATTATCTCAATCATTTTAGTTTCTAAAATATATACAAAAAGCATTCTAATTGAGAATGTTTTATACTTTAAGCACAGAAATAATATAAAGGCATTATTTCAGAAAGACTAGGAAAGATATGTGTGAATGCATGCAAACATATACATAGCACACACACATATTACCTAAAGTTGGGGGAATAAAGTGGAATTATCTTAGAAATTATGGTAAAATAACTCAGGATTTGGGGCTTAAATCATTCTAGTAAAACATTGTAGTATTCTTCTTATAGGAATATTGGAACACAGTCCATGAATGAAGCTGTGTGAGATTTCTGAGAGCTAGTGAGACAACTCCAAGTAAACAAGACAAGAGTCTGGTAACCTCTGTTCCTCTATAACATGGGATGGTCTTGGAATGTGCTTTAATGCCCCTCCCAGGTGTAGTAAATAAGAGCGGGTTTGCCTCAGATTATCTATCATCTTACCCATTCTTATTCAGGATGAGGTTTCCAAGCATGAGTTGTCCTCCTGACTATATACAGCTTAAACTCATGTGACCTTGCCCTTGTGACTGTATACAACTTGGACTCAAGTGAGCTTTGCTTACATTACCTTGCTTAGCCCACAGAATACCCTCACAACATAAATTGTCTGATGCATTGAATAAAAATTGTTATTACATGAGACTTTAGTCTGCCTCATTTTTAGGCTTTACTCTCTGAGGTTCATACTACCACATAGAGCAACAACATAAGAACATATAAATATTTTGATGTTTGTACAAGCACGTGGTAGGAAAAGTATTTGTGTAATAATTAATGCATTACAATCAAAGTCTCATTTAAACATTCTTAGATACAGAACTTATGTTATCTAGTAAACTAATAATGATCTTTAAAAATATGCTTAGGATTTCATTCAAATCAATATTTACTAAATAATGAAAAATGTTCTTACTACAAGTAAACTTTTATTAGACACTGAAAGTTAGTCCAACTTCCAATTATTTTGTTCCTAATATTTTTTAAATGAATGAAAATATCTGCAGACATAATTTGAACATCAATATTTTAAACATTTCATAAAGCTTTTGCCATTAGTATTTTAATTGGAACTAGAATTTGCTAATATTCAAAAGCACTTGGCTAAAACCCTATGAAGGAAGAATTTCTGGGCTAATACATACTATTTAACTCTGGTATCATTCTGATAAAGTATACATGGGAGTGAGCATTAAATTCTAAGGTGAAAACTGAAGACTACTACAGTCAAATTTAATCTTAATTTTTTTTTACCTTTCCTTTAAAGTCTTTGAGGAGCACAAGTTGTACTTTTTTCACCATCTAAAGACTAGGAGGTGGTGTCTTGCAATGCAGGACTAAGTCCTTGCTACAGATTTCTTTCTTTGGATATTTTCTTTGCTACGTTGATTTCTTTCTTTTTTTAAACTGAGATCCAATTTAAATTAGAGGTGGATATAAATGTGGATATTGGAGAAACCCAGAAGTTTTTGTTTTTTATATGGAATAGGAGTTTGTATACACTGTACTCTATGTTGAGTATAGTTTGCCTTAGTGGTGATTTTACTTAAAAAAAAAACTATTTAGTTCCAGTATATTTCAATAATTTCTATTCTGGAAGCTAAACCATAATGATAAAGCTATTTAACTGTGGGTTGTTTCATTCTAGTTAATATCAGAATGACTCACAATTTTATGCAAAACAAAAATGAGTCATGCTCAAATTTGAAAAGCTATCATAGCATCTAATGACAGGCTCTAGATTGTTGCAATTTTTCTTCCAAGTTTCTTAGCTGTATATATGTTAATAAATATCATCAAATAAAAATTCATATATAAAATACTAAATAAGAACCATCGTGGCAAACAAATTTAACTAGATATTTTTAATGACAGCATTCCTTCGAATCTCCAGTTGTCAAGCATGCATTCTGAATATGTAAGAGAATTCAAAATAGCTTCTGCATAATTTTCCTAAATTATTTAGTCAGTGTCTATAACATAATCTTTTAGGAAGCACCATGGTATTTCACAACTAACTCTCAAAAGATTAGGACACCCTTATTGACTATTAGTATAAATAACCATAGGTGAATGTCTTCTTTTAGAACAATATGGTTTTAATAAATGGAATTACTTGTTAGAGAATTTTGTTAAAATGGAGCAAAATTTAAAAAAATAATTTAAATTTACAGTTCCTTTATATTATTTCTTTATTTTTTGTTTTTATTTGTTTGTGTGAAGTAGTATTTCACTATGTGGCTCAGCCTGACCTCAAACTCTAGATTCTTCTGCCTCAGCTTCTAGAGTTCCAGGATTATAGTCGTATATCTTAACACCTAGTTTATAGTCTTCTTGAGGCACAGGGAAAGTTGGATAAGTCTCTTTTTCTACCCTGAGATGACACGGGAGCGCATCTTGAGATTTCACAATTTTATGCAACTGGTGAGCAGAAATGTGATTTGCTAATTTTATGTCATTAACATAGAAAATCAATGGGAGAACAAACACCCTTTAAAACTGACTAAAATGGCCTATTTCCCCATTGAAAAGCATTCCCAGTTGCTCCCCAAGTCTTCCATTGTCATAATTTCCTTTCTTGCACACACACATTAGTAACCTAGTTAACTCCATGGCCTTTTCTGTAGCTGGCTTGGCACTTGATTTAGTTAGGTCAAGGGCCCTGCATTGTTCACAGCGGCTATGCGGTAATTTTTATTTCATTTTATCTTATACTGAAGTTGAAAAATGCTGCTATCTTCTGGCTTTCAGAGTTGGACACTATCACCCTCACATGAATTCTCCAGAACATTGCCTAACAAACAATAAATGCCCTTTCCTATCAAACCTGTACAGTGATAAATTCAGTCTATTTTTGGCTGTGATTGTGGAAATCTCTGGTCTTTCGTGATTAGTGGAGTTGCTCACCTGAAACATCTTCTTAGCTTAGCCAGAAGCTCACGTTTTCAAAGTATATATTGTAAGCTGGATGTAGCAGTTTACACCTGGACTCTCAGCACTAAGGATTATTATCACTTTTACAGGAAGTTCTCTTGATTCAATGGCTATTCTTCTCTACATTTGGTTAATTCATATATCAACATCTGAATATATACATTACCCATCCAGTCACTGAAAGAAAATTTTACTTTGCATTTTTTCAAATTTTCAAGATTTTTACATTGCATTCTTTTCAATAGAGCCTATTATTTAACTTGATCACAAATTAATGAAATAATTTTGAGACTAGAAATTAAAGCATGATTTGACTCAAAATATCCTAAAGTATCAAATGCTTGGAAACATGTATCTTGCCTCTACTTAATGCTTACGGGGAATGAATGAATAATGTTTGCAGTCTGATTCTTAACTGTGTTAAGTTAGAGGCATTAAGTTTTGTCAGGCTTTATTCAGTAACTTCTGTTTTTAATTGTTCAGATTATTAAATATGCATAATAAGATTGATAACTGGTAAAACATACAGGAATAATAATTAAAATTATAGGTAACTACACAAAGAGAAATAAGTGTAAGACAGGAAAAAAATGCATTTAAAGTAATCTCTCAGAATTCTGAGTAGAGTACCCAGCACATGGTCCCTAAAGAGAGAGAGGTCACTGGATCTCAATGAAAGAATCTTTTGTGAGGAAATAATCCAGAGTAAAAACAAATGTCATACCACATGTAGTCACAATGTATTGGCAGTAACTGTCATTATATCACTATGGGGTCAAGTTACAGTACTCCACAAACAATGACAGTAGCATATCGTCTGAGCTAATTGAGAAAGCGTCATGATGTAATGTTTGCCATTGCAGGCAGCAAGAAGCCACACGTGTGTACAGCACCAGAAAATTCAATCTATAGACATGCCTAAGGATGTCATTCTGGAACTAT